AAAAAAAAAAAAGAAGTAGAACAAGAAAATGGCTCAATGCCTGATGCTGATCTCTTCCGGTTTGTATTTTTCCCTTTTCTAGAAACAGCCTCATTGGCCACGTTGAGGACCAAAACCTAGAATGAAGAGACCTAGGTGCTAAGCCTCCTTTCCCAAGTGCACACACATATCTGGGGTGGGAATATATTTCCCTAGGGTTGCAGAATGCTGACCTTGACTTACAGTCCTTCTGAGAAGTGTTTGCATATTCGTTTCCATGCTGTGTCATTTCGTTTGGCCAAGCCTTGAGCTCTTGTCCAATTCCCAAAGCAGTGGGATCTAGATTGCTTGGCATTGTTAATGAGTTTCTTAATACAGCAGTGATACACTTTTTTTTCTTTAAGCACGGAATAAATGCTTATTTATTTATTTATTTATTTATTTATTTATTTATTTATTTATTTATTTAGTTAGTTTTGTTTTTCAAGACAAGGTTTCTCTGTGTAGCTTTGGTGCCTGTCCTGGATCTCGCTCTGTAGACCAGACTGGCCTCGAACTCACAGAGATCTGCCTGGCTCTGCCTTCCGAGTGCTGGAATTAAAGGCGTGCGCCACCACCGCCCAAGTGATACACTTCTATAGTTTACAGAGTACTTTTCAAGCCATCTGGATGAAATTGAGCACATGCTGCTATATAATTTTTAAAAAGCCAGAGCTGGCGAGATGGGTCAGTGGGTAATGCCACTTGTACCCCTATAGCCCAAGGTCATGGGTGGAGCAAATACCACTATACATAAATTCAATCCTTGTACTCACCCACATAAAGACAGAAGAACACAGACTCTATGGTTGTTCTTTGGCTTCCACATGCTCCCCCTACCCCCTTGATGAATGTGACTGCCCAACAATAATTTGAATATTTCTGTTGATGGATGCCATTGACTTAGAAGCAAACGCCTGAGAAGCCAGGCTGAATAATGGGAGATTAAGTGGTCAGAGTTCCTCGGCATCCCTGTACCCCCATGTTCTTTGGTATACTGGGCATTGAGACCAGATCCTTGCCTACGCGCCAGGGAAGTGCTCTACTGATGAGCTCTATCCCTAGCCGCCTTTTTACTTTTTATTTTGACATAACTCTTACCAGATTTCTCACTCTGGCCTCAGCCTCCTGAGTGGCTGGGATTATAAGCCCATGCCTGGCTGCCCAGCTGGTTTTGAGGACCACAATCCACATGAAAACTGAAAACAAGCCCAAACAAAACATTAAAACCCTTATTTTAGTAACTATATCGGAGTAAACTTTGAACTTACTTAAATCTTTGCCTCCTTCCTTGCTGTTTGGGCCTCCAGTTACAGACTTTTCACCTGTATTCACATAAAATTAGAAGCATCTAGTTATTCCTTGGGAGGGAAAACTGAGGGATGGGAGACGTGCCCTCTGTGTCTCCGTGGAATCCTTTCCCGAGAGAGTGATCCATCAGGGTTTCAGAAAGGTTGAGCGGCATAAATGGAGTCTAGATTAAGTTGAAGACCCACGTGGAGTAAGTGTAGGAAAATCCAGAGCTGAGCCGAGACACTCACTGTCACAGACGATCAGGACCCCCCCCCCCCCAAGGCCATTATTGGGAAACAAACCATTCTAAACCAGCTTCAAACAACTCCCATTTCTTCAGTCACCCTTTGTACAGCGTCTGCCAGATGTTCTCT